AAGAGATGGATGCACAAGATGGAGCAACAAACACAAGCTACATGGTTTTAATGTTAATCCTGACATTCCATATTAAAACTGCAATCTGTTCAAAGGAAAGATTTTATATAACCATTCATTTGCTTTCCCCATCTTTAGCATTTCTAATTTTTGCTTTAATTATTAGTGAAAAGTCCTTAAGAACTTTCCCAGCCAGTCTCATTTTAATACATGTCAAAAGCAGGGAGCAAACTTGTAGCTTGGTTATTCCCCTGATACGCCTTATAATTGAGAGGTAATTGTTAGCCAGATGCTTCCTCGACCAAAAAGCTGTTTTTTAAAGCGCAATATGACAAGTTAGGCAGCAGGATTAGTTTATCATTAAATCCACTGGAGGATAAGCTGTGATGATACAATTGCAATCAAGACAAAGGAGGGATTTCTGATTTTGTTGTTTTGATACAGCATTATCATTCATTTCCTTTTGCAGACTGAATGAAGACAAAACCACGTGCAACTGTTCCCTGTTATGTGCTTGATGTCACACAGTAGAGCTTTGATCGATGCTTTATATAGTCTTACCCTCATCCCTTCAAATCGTGACAATGCTCTTAATGGTCGCAGGGCTCGGAGGGTCCTGAGGGATTTAATGGGACCCATCTCAGAGTATCCAAGTGTATTGGCGATGAGGCTTATTAAGGAGACCTGAATGGAGACACAAAGCAAAAATCCAATCTGTTAGTACAGTCCTGCCATTTTCCTTCTCTTCTGACTTTCTTTCCTGAAAAGAAACATCTGGTTAGTTGGTAACAGCTGAAACAGTGGGGGAAAAAAAAAAAAACAAACCACCTTAAATGGAAGCCATTAAATTAGACCAACACAGAAAAAAGGAGGTTTTTACATCACACATATACAGAACTCTTACCAACTCACAACACCTTTGTTTCCAGTTTAATGCAAAATTTATAGAAATGCAGACATTCAAAGATGTCTGTTTTCTTTTAACTAAGCACACAGAAATCCTTTTATTGTCAGCTTGCACAAAGTTGGTGAGAAAAGAGATCACCGTTACAAAACTACCACTCTGTGATGCCCATGCTGTAGGTTTCCTGTACAATCCTCAAGGTGTGTGTAACTTCCACGACTGAAAATAAGATGAGTCACATAAGTGTTATAATTTAGGGCTTTCTGGATGAAAGCACCTGTAAGATCTAACCATTTCCAGCAGAGATAAAAGATTTTAGCATTACCATTCAATTATCAATCTTAAACTTACTAATTAGAAACAAGTCTTCTAGATTGGTGATAGACATGACTTTATACCGTAGACTTTAAGAGAATGAAGTGCATGACTCTCTGATTCTGCACTTTTTCCCTTTTTCTGGTTTCTACACAGCCTCTAAGGGAGCAAGAAACTTGACAGGTGCTCAACATTGAGGTTCAGACCTCTCAAAGACTATTTCTTTGAAATAAACGACATATTTCCAAAACTGGAGACAGCATGGAGGGGTTCCAATGCTCTTCATGTTCTCAGAGCTTTTGTAGCGCCCAGCTGGTCAGACATGTGGATGCTATCAGGAACAGGTCTGGAGTCTGGATGAACTGAATGGCAGTGGAGATTACAGGTCAGATTAACAAACACGTAGAGCAACTGGGTTTTACATGCTTAAGTCAGTGTTCACAGCCTGCGAATTTAGGGAGTGAGAAACAAACAGCTCTCCAACAGCACACGTATCATACTAATTTGCATGGATTAAAAAAGGAACCAAAATTAGTCCTCACATATTATAAAATATTATTTTCTTAGAAGAGAGAGACCTATGCATATTACTGGTCACAGTTCCCTTACTCCTGTCTTTAGCTGTTTCAACAGCCCCAGTTATCATGGTATCAGTTTGTCTCACGCTCACCAATGTGAGTGTGCAAAGCTTACCTGGAAGGAGTGTGGCTTTATTGTCATTTTAAAGATAGAAGTGAAGTCTCAAAACAGGGATTCTTCTACACTATGTAAAAAATAGGTGCTTAATGTAAAAGGAAACTCTAGGCTCCTCCATGAAGACAGACAGGTCTGGTCAGAAACCTTCCTTTTCATTTTAGGATGGGATGATTTTCCCTCGGAACCCTAATTCTGGCTGACCAGCCCAGCACCACCCATGAGGTTTGTGATAAAGCAGTGATAGGTTACTGGTTGGACTCGATGATCTTAAGGGTCTTTTCCAACCTTAATGATTCTATGATTCTATGATTCTATAAGACGAGCCTGGTCCCCTAAGTCGTGAGCTAGTGTCCTCTACGGAGCAACCTTTCTCCTGAATATGCATTCATTTATGTACCAGCGCTGTCTGCGCAGCTAAGCATCTTTATAAAACTTGCACAATTTGATAAATTATTTACCTATTGATGGCTTTATTGTGGCATGTGGGTGACAGTAAGCCTAAGGGCAGGAGATCTTCAAAACACCAAGCCTGGGCTAGATGCAGTGGGCTGGATATCTGCCGGGATAAGACAGCCCAGATCTGCAGATGACGAAGTGGCACAGAGGCTGCCTGTCACGCTTTAACATGTCACTCTTTAATAAGGTGTGACACAAACTCACCTCTCACGTACAGACTCAGTGGCTGATGTGGAAGGAAGGTCTTAGTAAACACTTCTGCATTTTAGTGTTGAGTGTGCTGTAAAAACATCTCAGCAGACAGGCAGACTGGATTCAAGGTCTGATATCTTAAGACCCTTAGATACTGGGGAGGTAAAAATCACCAGTGAAGCCTTTGCTTCCATCTCTAAGAAAGCAGATCTGAACCCGTGACATGAGCATGCCTAAGAAGTTATTTTGGAGTAAGAAATGCTATAGGTTTGACATATATTCACTAGTAATGCTTCTTTCACCTAAATCCTGCTCAGTCAATGCTCACAGTTGAAGATGAAAATCTGGGTTTGACTTCAAAACCGTCTTAAACTCACCAACGCTTCCAAACAGGGGCAGCACCCATTTTCTGTCTTCCCTGTTTCTTACCAACCTTGATTACATCCTGTACTCTGAAGATGCATTAACATACAGTCCAAAGCCTTCTCCTTTCATTCACTCTCCTCATTGACTTAATGTTGCCTAAATAAGGAGAAAGGGCTGAAGGATTTGTCTAATAGCAGTAAGCAAACGCATAGCATACTTATATACTAAAGCCATTCAACTATGGCATCTTAAAACTGTAATATAATTGGCATTATTGAGATATCATGATAGGAGTAACACTGTGGCACATATTTCTGTCTTTGGTGGAAAGCTTAGTGCAGAAAATGACCTTAACCCCACAAAGCCTTGGAGCTCCCTGTCCAGAAAGGCTGGACGTGTAAGAAAAACAGCTCGATGACAGCATGCTCAGTGATAGAAACCAAGATCCATACACTCACATACTAAGGGAAGCTCATTAATTTGTAAAATGAATGTAGAAATTTAAAAGAAAATTAATCAAATACAGAGCACTCAACACCCTTCTTTGCCAGCTTCACCCACAATGTCTGAAAGTCAGATCTTCTTGAGGTCTTCAAACTGCCTTGGTTCATGCATCTGCATGCTTCCTCCCTCATATCCTATAACTCCTCTTTCTCTCAAGGCAGAAGATACTCTGTTCAAATCCTGCAAGACCAGACTTTGGATCTGAGCGTGTAACCATTTTCTTTAAGAGTGCCGTAAATGTCACCCTGAAACACATCACAGGTGCTGTTGTCCTCCTGACACAGATTTACACAGCATTAGATATCTCTTCAGAGGATTAGGCCGTGAAGCTGTGTGATATTTGGCAACGATTTACAATGCTGGAGTCAAAACTGAGTTTGAGACAACTTGTTTAAATGCTCGTCTGTTGGTTTTGAAGGTATCCCCGTCAAATTTTATTTATAGGAGAATTACTAATGCAGAGACTTGGCCATTTGGACGTGATTAAAAGTGACCCAGAAGGCTATTTTTAGGAAAAAAGTCAAGCAGTTTTCAAAATTGGTGCTGACTGCCCCACATAATCACAGCAAAAGGTGAAGTCAGCTGTTTCTGTTAGGTTTTTTTCCTGTTACAAGGCTGTGCAGCCCAGAGATGCTCTAAGGTTCTGCTCTGTGCTCTGCTGGGTATCAGAAACTCACTGGTACCTCCAGGGTCAACATAACCTCCAGATTCACAATATGGCACACATTCCTAATCTTTTCTCTTTGCAAATACTTCTGCAGGTTTTTCAGGGAAAAAAAAACAAACCTGAAGACCAGGCAGCGCTGTAACATTGTGGAGAGCAGGTGAATCCTAAGGAGTCACTGTTGCCTAGAACCATTTCCCATAAGATGCACAACCTGCTGTTGGGCTTGAGCTTTCACCTCACCTTCACCTTTCACATGGCAGGTGTGCTAACAGGTAAGCTACAGAGTCTCTCATCCTCCTGTGCACTTCTTCTGACCCAAGAAGCCTTATTATTCTTATTTGCAGATGCTTTGCTTCTAGCATCTCCCTTGAGGGTCTTTCCAGAACCTGCTAGATCTTACTAAGAAGCTTTCACAGCTTTTTGTCTAAACCTTCCTTCCCTTAACTTAATCAAGTAATAATGTTCTTCATGTTAGCTTTAGACTGTTCCTTAGCCCCTTGACTTGCTGTTTATTCTGCTCCTCTGAAGACCCCAGGATGATGCTCTCACTGGAATTTGCTATCTAGCGTGAACCCCAGTGTACAACCTGGCCAGCAACGAGGGTCCCTAAGGTGGGGAGTGGTCCTTATAATTCAGTATATGCAATCCTGCCTCCACAGACATTAACGACAAAAATGTCACCAACCACAGCGGCTAGGATTTCAGTCACGTGGCAGCTCTTCCTTTTTGCTTTCTTCAGATCATCTCAGCACAGGCCAACAAGAGCTCAGCCTTGGTGTTGTCAGTGACTTCCCAAAACTTATTCCATCCTGAAAGAGTGGAAACCCTGAAAGAGTCAGCATTTACTGCCTGGCTCAATGGAAGGGTTTCCCAGCAAAGCCCAGGGTCTAGGCAAAGCCACGTTGACGCTACCTGCACAGCTTGGCTTCTTCTTGCCATTGTAGACAGGCAGGTGGTGTTGAGTTCTCTCTTACCCTGGCATTTAAGGAAGTTTGTTGCCCCCATTCCTTACTTTCTTTGCCCAAAGACAGTTTTATCTATATATCTATGTATCTATATATCATCTATAGCGATACCTATAAATATATGATATCTATTTACCTGTATTTCTGTATTTCTATAGTCCTACATATTCCTACATGCAAGTTTATCTACATAGATTTTACAGTGGTTTGTATGGCAGCCTCCTCGAGCTGAGTAAAGGGAGAGATAAATGAACGCCACAGCTTTAATTTTTGCATTTTCAGTGTTATGCTCAAGGAAAAAATTAGAGCTTTTAAATCTTGTGACTGCATTGAACACTAGAAATACCAGCCATGGGAATTACCAGGCTGGTGTTTTGAAAGCCAGCCTCCTGTCATCTATGTGGCTTAGTGGCATTAGCAGCTCAGGTCTACAGTGCCCCATTGTATGACATTCGTATGTGTTTCCAGGGCAAAATCAAGAAGAATCAGTGAATTTAGACTGCTAGAATACAGGCAATGATCTCTTTCAGAGACTAGCCTCCCTGATAACTGTTCAAAGTTATTGATAATATGTTCTAATGAGATTAATGTCTGAATTTCTTAATTATTTTGACAATCC